ACTTTGCTAGAAATGTGGGGCATTATGTTCCTCGGGTAACAAAGTTAATTGTTTCAATAATCACCCAATTTATATCATGATCACGGATTACTAACTAAATTTCAAAGAGCTCACTCAACTTTGTTCGTCATCACCCTCGAAAATTTGTTACCTTATTCGCTTACGTGCCTAACGGAAATCTGACGTGGCAATTTACGACCGTTAAAAAAATTACAACCCAACCTAACCATTGTTTCATTTATCATTCAACTTACATTCATGTCTCAGTTTACTCATCGGACTTCAAAGTATTTTCGAGTGGTCACTCGTCTATGAAATGTTGGGCTCCATTCATCATCCGCAATATTTCGTTCCCTTCATCACTAATGTTTCCACAAAAATTTCAAGTGGTAAGTTACAAAAGTTAAAAAAATTACAACTCAACAAAACTATCTACTCACCAAAATCATCGTATGTGAAACTTGACTTCCATGGCCCCATAAACTTCTTTAAAACCCAATAAAGCACTCCTAATGATTCTCTTAGAAATATCATTTTTCTAATTTAAATGTTGCCGGTGCAAAACATAGATTTCAATCTGAAAATTTGAATTATAACTTGTTCTGCTAGAAATTGGTTTGTGAAAATATTTTGTTTATATTTCACCCATTTGTCTTCTAATTGCATCCAATCGTTCATATGTGATCTTCAATCATCGTTTTATATTTCAAATCAACTATTGTATATTTGAATTTTGATTTCCGAACTTTAGATTTCTTGCAATTTCACCATTTTCTCGTTCATTGTCTCCAATTTCGTCAATTTCATCGATCTTTACATATCAAACACAATATACATAGAATTAAGCCATAATTCATTAAAATATCCAGTAAATGCTCTAATTTAAATGCTTTAATAAGTGTACATAATACACTTATCACTAAGGTTTTTTAGGGCTAAAATTGGGGACCTTTATTGGATTTTAAAGAAATTTATGGGGGTGTAGAAGTTGCGGTTCGCATATGGTAATTTTTGTGAGTTGATAGTTTGGCTAAAATTGTAATTTTTATTTTTTTTTTTATTTTTATGATTGTAACTTACCCGTGGAAATTTTTCGTACATTAAATTAGCAATGAAGTGAACAAAATATAGCGGATGATGAATGGAGTGTAACATCTCAAAGAAGAGTGACCATTGAGAAGCATTTT